TTGAAGTCGGTCGTAGATATTATGAACGTAGCTGAATTGGAATAAAGAGATATAATAACCAAAACTATTAAACACTGATGCAACCATCGTGTTTTGCGTTCCATTTGAAAGTAGGGCTTTCATTTTAGACAACTGCACTGCTTATGTATGAGAAAACATTTGCTTTGTAATTTATATTTTACGTCTCGTAATCGTGTGCATCTTCCACCTTTGCAGCGGTTCATAAGGTACAAGAAAATACTCGAACCATGCACGTACTTTTTCTGACCAAAGGTGGTGACCGAAAAGGAATTCTCGGTCAAAAGCGCTGACATTAGCACATGGCGCAACGAACTCATTCAATGTAGAAATGCCACTAAGGATAACATACTGTGACTTGGAGGTTTTAACATGTTGCACTAACTAAGTTAATTGAACATTTGGGCAGTTAATTCCCCTAACAAGTGGGCGGCATCAGGCGAGATCCGAGTGCCTTTGAATTTTATATTTTCAAGTATATTCGAATTCGAGAGAAGGGGGTGGAGTAAAAACGATAAATGATATACTTTGAAATATTGACGTAGGGGGATGTGTCGACTATTTATATTCTATCTGTGGTACAAAGATAACTATTCAGGCGATTCTGTCTTGAAAGAGAATCACTCACAGCACGATGGACCCACGCTGGCCACGACGTCTTAATCGAACCGTTGACTATGCTGATCGCATGAATGCTCGTTCAAACTCATCTTACCAAAGTTACGGCACTCATCCACGAGAGCAACCAGGGGACGCCTAAGATGTAGATATATATATCTGTAAAATAATTATTATATGTCACTGTAGCGATTTCATTACATACAATTTTGTATTTTAATACAATTATAATATATATTGCCAGCCACGCCAAGTTTTCTTCTCAGTAATAACGCATCATTGGGTTCATTCACGCCCATATTGGCGATAAATACGCGATAATTGCCCCCTCTCCGTAAAACACAAGCATGCGTGAAGTCATATACCCCCGACTAATAATAAAGTATTCGTATTCCATGGAAACTAATTTGGAAGCATTGTCAATAACTATGCCTGTTGTTTAGCTCCATTGGTGACCATTTAAAGTCACGAACAGCGCAATTTTAAATCCATTTTGGACATTCTCCATGTGCGTGCAACAACGTTCATCGTAAAAGCACATATTTAATCTGTCGCTCATACCGGTAAAACACACATTCAATTATGGATTCGTTCTGTATTTTTACAATAATGTTTATCATGTCATCAGTGGTGATGAATTTATGCTCAGGTAATATGACCTCCATATTATTATCTAGTATGATTTTGAATGACTTTAAACAATGTTACTGTAACTTGTTTCCAGTTATAAACGCGTTGTTTAATTTGTTTAACACAACTATATACTGTATATAGTTCCAATATTACCCTGTTTAATCTAACATTACTGAAGAAATTGCAGTTTTTGTTTTGTTTTTTCGTGCAAAGGCATACAACCATGTTGTACATGGGTGCCACGCCCTATTTTTATTCAATAAATCACCAACAAGTAACAGCAATATATAATTAATTAAAAAAAGACATATGTTTTGTTGCAGGGATGATATGCATCAACGAGTGTCGCTTTCCTGTCGTGGATGACGGGACTTGTGACGATGGCGGCAACGGTTCGGATAACGCTTTCTGTGCATTGGGACATGACTGTGATGACTGTGGCGACAGAAACGGTGCGTGTTTCAACTTAAACACCTTGCTTGTGGCAACCATTTTCAAGGCTTGGATATGCACCCCAAATTACTTTACTTTCTCAGATTGAACCACTAAACATGGCCTCGTTACTTGTAGCAAAATAATGCAAAATGGTTAACGAATTTGTGTAAATTTGACCCAAACCTGAGTTTGTATGCCTTAAACCATGATTGACTAGTTTAGATCCGGCGGTAGACCGATGGAAGGTTTTTGTACAGGAAAATAGACGAAGACAAGTCATTCACTCTGCTCAGGAATACGTTTGTAAAATCGTTGATTTAATTTATTTCAGGAGTATGCGAGAATGATTGTTATGAGGTTGATTTGCTATCTACTTTTGATGGTTACTGTGACGACGGTGGCGAAGGTTCCCACGGCAACTATTGTCCGTACGGCCACGACTGTTATGATTGCGGGTTGCGACCAGCAGGTGAATATATTATATGATCAGAGAAGTATTTGATTTCGCGTTTATTTTTTATTTTGAATAACAATGAGTACGCCTATGTTCGTGACAAATATGTCACATGAATCAGTACTGTGAGTGATTCGATGTACCATGTATTAATAGTGTGGGGCGGACGGACCCCTCCCACAAGTTAGAGCCGGTCTTTGTTATCGGTCTAATATACGATTTTTATTGCGATGATAGATAAAT